CAGGCAGTGGCCCGCAGCCTCAGTTCCCTCACCTGCAAAATGGGCTAGGGCGGGAGGAGCTGGATCTGTTGGCAGAAAAAGCCAAGAAAAAAAAAAGAAGAAAAAGAAGTCACGAGGCCTAGTGTGGTAGCACACACTTGTGATCCCGGAGCTCCATGAGGCTGAGGCAGGAGGGTCACTAAGTTCCAGCCCAATACGAGCAACTTAGTGACTTAGCAGACCGTGTCTCAAAAATAAAAAAGGGCTGGGGATGTAGCTCAGTACGAAGGCCCTGGGGTTTGACCCTCGGTACCACAAAAAGTCACGGGCCAGCACAGTGGCACCCACACATAATCCCAGATATGCAAAATGCTGAGGCAGGAGGATCACAAGTTCGAGCCCAGCCTGGACAATGTAGCTAGACTCCATTTCAGATAGAAGAGAGAACAAAAGCAAAAGGAAGGGAAATTTGATATCCGTGAAATAGATCTACACTCCCTGTCACTTCCCTGACCCAGGTGCACCAGAAGTTCCGTGTGAGTCCTACGTACAGTTTTCCACTTTCTGCTGTCACGTGAGGAAAAAGCAAAATGAAACAGGTGAAATGAATCGATTTAATTCAATACATGCAAACTGGTAGCATTCCAGCATGAAATCAATACCAGAACGAGCTAGTTCCCCTCCGTTTGGTTGCATAAGTCTTTAATATCTGATGTGCATTTTGCGCTCATGGCTGATCTGGGTTTGGAAAAGCTATCGACTGGTGGCGACCTCCAGGAACAGGACAATCACAGCGGCCCCCACCCTAGCTCCGGCAGCCTCCCCGGGGCAGCCAGACCCTATCAGCCCAATCAGGAGCCGCGGGGGAGGGGGTGTGCATGACTGTAAACCCAGCATTAGGGAGGCTGTGCAGCCAGGAGGGTCACTGTGAGTTTGAGGCCAGCCTGGGCCACGTAGGAAGACCTTGTCTCAAAACATAAATAATATTTTAATAATGCTTCATAATGAATAAATAAATGAAAGACCCAAGTTAACTCACATCTGTCCTCTCTTCAGAAACCTCCCGGGGGCTCCCATCTCAGAGTAAAAATAGCCAGAGTCCTCTGGGTGGCCTGTGAGGCCCTGAAGGATCCCTCCAATGCCCTCTCAAACCTCACTACTCAAGTCCAGCCTCACCCACCACCTCTCCCCTCTTCCTTACATTTCCCCAGACACTCCTGCCCCCGGGCCTTTGCATCTGCTGTTCTCCAGCCTATACAGCTCTTTCCCCGGATTTTCAGCAAGACTCTCACTGAGGGGCTACTCCAGAGTGGCCTCCTGCATTAAATGATTCTCCAGCTCCCCCTGCTACTGTGTCCCAGTCACCTCCGTCGCTCTCCCTGCATTGTATCTTCACAGGTCATCTCTGCCTGATGTTCTAGCGCACACACTGTGTCTGTCCACCTCTTCACATCTCCCCAGTCCAAAGATCGGCTCTGGGTCTCTCCCCTTTGAGGCTGGAACCCCGGCATCAGGAACAGAGCCGGCGCACAGGAGGTGCTCAACAACCCAGTCGGGGCACATCTGCAATCCCAGCACCAGGAAGCTGAGGCAGGAGGATTGCCACCACTTTGAGACCAGCCTGGGCTACATAGTCCTTCTGGTCTCAAAATAATAAAGTTTAAAAGGGCCGAGAATGTAGCTCAGTAATGTTCAGTCACCAGTACTGAAAAAAAAAGAGATTTCAGAAACTGTTCCACCCACCTGGACCAAGGACCCGGCTGTGGGGAGCTCAGGGGGAGGTGCGGTCACAGAGGAGCTGGCCTGTGATGCCTGGGGGTTGCACAGAGCCCAGCCCCACCCCAAGCCTCTCTGGGCCCAGCCTGTGGAGCTCTGCCTGGCCAGGATGTCACCAGAAACCTGGCCTCCCCGGGGACCAAAGGCTCCCTGGTGTCGGGTTCCACAAACAGCCCAAGGCCCTGGCATGAGCCAGGGGCTGGGGACACAGAGAGCACAGCCTGGCCTGCCCTCTCGGGGGTCACAAAAGGGGGGCCCGGACAGACCCATCCCAGGGAGAGCACAGGGTGGTGGGGCTGGGCTGGGAGAGCTGGGGGCAGCCATGGAGGGCTTTCTGGAGGAGGAAAAGGGGAGCAGAGCAGGGGGGCCATCCGGTCTCCTCCTGAGCACCCTGGGCAGCCTGGCATGCTCTGAGCACTGCAGGCCCCAGGCGGGCTTGGGTTTCAGGAAGGACCCCCTGTGCTATGCCCACACATCACAGGAGTGTGGGGCAGGGGGCCCGGGGAATGGGGGAGCCCCCTGAACAGGTACAGGCCTGGATAGGGGTGCACGGAAGAGATGTTTAAGAAGCAGCAGCTAGTTGGGCATGGTAGTGCACACCTGTCATCCCAGCACTCGGGAGGCTGAGGCAGGAGGATGGCTGTGAGTTCAAGACCAGACTGGGGTACACAGCAAGACCCTGTCACACACACACAAAAAGAATGATACACACCTGTCATCCCAGCTACTCAGGAGGAAGGATCAAAAGTTCAAGCACAGCCTGGGCAACTTAGCAAGACCCTGTCACAAAAGACAAAATGAAAAGGATTGAGGATGTAGCTCAGTACAAAGCCCCTGGGTTCCATCACCAGGGCTGGGGGTGGTGGTGGCAGAAGCAGCCGTGTGAGTGTTGCTGGGGTTCGGGTTGACAAGTCCAGGTCCCTCCCTGCCATCCCTGGGATGGCCCCGCCCCTGTAAGAGATCCAGGGTTCACCCGGGAAGACGCTAAGGTCAGTTTGGGACAGGTGAGAGAGAGGCTTCAGAGGGACACTGGGACACCAATGTGACGCCAGGATGCTGTCCCAGGCCTCGGTGAGAGCAGAGAGCAAAGCCAGGGCAGAGCAGGGTGAGGTGAAGTTGCAGGTGGGGGACAGCCCCAGCCCCACCCCCACCCAGCAGAGCCCAGCCCTGAGGGCATCTTGGGACACAGCAAGCACGGGGAGACAGGTTGGACAGGGCAGCACAGGGATGGGCCGTCCCCACCCAGGCTGCGGCCTTCAGCGAACCGGCACCTGCAGCCATTGAGATGTGGGAGGCAACACTCGGGAGGCTGAGGCAGGAAGATCACCATGAGTTCAAGCCAGCCTTGGCTACATAGTGAGACCCTGTCTCAAAAAGCAAAACCGAGAGACAAGGGAAATAATAACACGACTGTCTGTTTGCCTCCCCCTAGCAAGGATTCCTTTCATCCATTTTCCCCAGGGTCTCCCCAGCACCTAGGCCAGGGCTGGCACATAGTAAGTGATCATTAAATATCTATTACCTGAGGGGTGTGCTCAGCAGTTACTCAGCTTGGCTTTTGTTTTATGGTACCGGGGATTGAGCTACATCTCCAGCTGTTTTTTATTCCGAGGCAGGGTCTTGCTAAGTCGTGCTGGGCTGGAATTTGCAACCCTCCTGCCTCCCAGACGCTGAGATTCCTGGTGTGGGCTGAGGCTCCTGTGCAGGGTCCCTGGAGAACAGGTTCCAGAGTGCTCAAGTCCCTTGTTCAGCTCGGCTCCAGCCAGGCGTGGTGAGCCCCACAGAGTTCGAGGCCAGCCTGGGCTGCATAGCGAGACCCTGTCTCAAACACAGGAGAAAGAAAAGGCTCAGTATTTGCATAGAAACTTGACACTTCCTCCCACAGACTGAGTCACTGCGTGGGGGGGGTGAGTCCACCGACGCCAGGCAACCTCCGGTGGGCCCTGTCCCTGTGTTGTTTAGGGACAATGATGAGGACCGAAATGCTCTGTGTCCAGCATGGGTGCAGGTTTCAGCAGAATATTTTGCTCCGGGATTTGCTGAATCAATGAGTACAAAGTCCACAGATGCAGTCCTGGGGCTTGACCCGGGAGCCTTCACGCTGAACTACACCCCCAGCTCTTTTATTTTATTTATTTTTTTATGATTTTTTTTTTTTTTTTTTTTTTTTTTTTTTTTTTTTTTTTTTTTTTTTTTTTTTTTTTTTTTTTTTTGCTGCATGGCCTTGCTAAGTTGCTAGGTTCCCAGGTGGGCTCGAACTTGCGATCCTCCTGCCTCTGCCTCCCCACGTGCTGGGGTTGCTGGCGTGCGTATGACGCCCAGCTGAGACAGGCAGACCTCACATCTGGCTGAAGTGCTAGTCTGTAGCTTCTCACAACTGCTGTCAGTCCAAAGTGGGATTTTTCCATCCATCCCTAGTTTCCAGGGTAACACAGTGGGATTCAGCAAGGGATTGTCTCCATCCCCACTCAGGAAAGTGCACAGCCAAAGTCAAACATCTGCTTTGTTGTTGCTGCTGCTGCTGCTGTTGTTTTGACAGGGTCTCACTGTAATAGTCCACGCTGGCCTCCAACTCACGAGATCCTCCCGCCTCAGCCTCCTGAGTGCTGGGATTCCAGGTGGGTACCTCCACGGCCGGCTCCAAATTCTGCTTTGGGTCAAAGGCCCATTGGACAGAGAGAGAATCAAGGGCTTGAGAAGGGGAAGAAGAGAATGTGGGTGCAGGATCCTTTGAGAGGTCACTAAGAAGAGTCCAGATGTCTCTCCCCTTTGGAGACAGAGCTGGACTCAACTCCTCTCTTTGGCCAGCAACTGAGCAGGTCAGTCTATGCCCGTGCCTCAGGTTCCCAGATGCAAACAGGGCCCCCGCCGGCAGCTGCCTCACAGAGGTAACGCCTGGTGGGCACCTGGCTTGCCGAGGCTGGAGTAAGGGTCACCACCTGGTGACCCCTGAACTCACGGGTCTGGGGCCTGGGCAGTCAGAGACAATTGCCCTAAAGTCCCCCCTGGCCTCCTCCCCTCCCTGGTGACCTGCTTCTTCTCCCATACCAAATCCGGGCCTTCGGCACAAAGAGGGTTAGGCAGCTGCCCCAGGAGGCCTGGCCAGGTCGTGGCCCCTGGCTGGTGCCCGCCACACCCACCCTGGTGCCCAACCAGGGCCCCAGGTGCTTGGTGACTCAATCCCTCCAAATTCAGGTGATCTCCCCTGGTTCCAAGTCACCAAACCCTCCCGGGCCTGGCTGCAGACGGAGCCGGGCACCAACCAGGAAGGGCCTCCGAGCACCGGGCACCAGCGTCCCCATCCCTGAGGCCCGGCCTGCGCTGGAAGATGGCGCCAAAGGGGTGCAGCTGGCTTGTCCTCAGTGGTGAGCGAGGGTGGTACCCCAGGCCTCGGGAAGGGAGGGAGCCCCAGCCGTGACAGGGAAGGTGTAAGCCAGGAAGCCAGCAGGCTGTGGAGGGAGGGTAGCACACAGATACTGGAGAGATGTGCAGTTCGGCTTCCCCACCCGAGGGGACTTCACAGATGGGAGACTTGGAACCCAGAGGGGTGACATCCCTGGCCGGGGCCACACAGCCAGAAAGTGGCAGGGTCTGTGCTAGACCAGAGCCACTAACGCTGCCACATTCCTTCAGCAGGGAAGCACGGAAACCAGGCCTGGCCTGAGTGCTTTGACGGGACAAGGGCCACAGCCAGCCACCTCTGGCAGCAGCCCTGGCAGCCCTGACCAGCTGTTAGTTTGGGGCTGATCTGTTCTTTCAGGGGAGGGGGGTCCCACGGCTGCTGGTGGGGGCTTGGCAGGTGGAGAGGACCCATGAACGGGGAGACCCTGGCGTTTCACATGGGGCCACACAATTATCCAGACTGAGCCAGGTGTGGTGGCACACACCTATGATCCCAGCACTCTGGGAGGCTGAGGCAGGAGGGCTGCAAATATAAGCCCAGCCTAGGCAACTCAGTAAGACCTTGTCTCAAAAGAGTTTTTTAAAAGACTGAGATGTAGCCCAGTGTGAAGACCCTGGGTACAAGCTCCAGCACAAGAAAAAAGGATGGAAGGAAGGAAGGACACCAGGAAAGGTCCAGTGGCTTAGATGGGAGGCAGGAGGCCGCAGGTGTGAACCCTGCCTTGCCGGACCTCAGCTGGGGACGCCTCCTAAGTCCAGCCAGCTCTGCTGTCCACCGTGGGGCTCCAGCCGCCCGCCAACCCCGGCTCCTCTTCCTCAGCCGCGCTCCTGAGTGCCGGCGCTGAGCTGTCCATCACTCCTGAGCCCGCCCGGCTGGCCGCAGGGGACAGTGTCACTCTGAGGGTCCGTGGGCTCTCGGGGGAAGAGCTGGCCTACAGCTGGTACGCAGGCCCCGCGCTCAGCCTGTCCTACCTGGTGGCCAGCTACATCGTGAGCACAGGCGACGAGATCCCCGGTCCAGCCCACACGGGGCGGGAGGCCGTGCGCCCCGACGGCAGCCTGGACATCCAGGGCCTCCTGCCCAGCCACTCGGGCACCTACATCCTGCAGACCCTCAACAGACAGCTGCAGACCGAGGTGGGCTACGGACACATGCAGGTCTATGGTGAGACACCCGCCACCCCGCCCCTGCCAGGCCTTCCTGTCCTGCTCCTGAGCCCTCCTTTAGAGTAAAAAAAGTGGAAAATGATACCTCCTTCAGGATGGCTTCCAGGATTGCGGCTGCCTCCCGGCCCCTCTCCCTGCCTCTCGGTTGGCAGCGCAGGGCACCAGCCCAACCCGGCCACGCCCCTCCCGTGACCCAGGCCTCCGAGCAGGTGGTGCCCGGCCCCCTCCCCCTCTGTCTCCTGCGCCCACAGAGATCCTGGCCCAGCCCGCGGTCCTGGCCAACGCCACGGAGCTGGTGGAGCGGCGCGACCCCCTGCGCCTGCTGTGCACCAGCCCCAGCCCCGCCGAGGTCCGCTGGTTCTTCAACGGCGACGCTCTGCCGGTCGCCGTCCGCCTCGGCCTGTCCCCAGACGGCCGCATGCTCACCCGGCACGGCGTCCGCAGGGAGGAGGCCGGCGCCTATCAGTGCGAGGTGCGGAATCCACTCAGTGTGAGCCGCAGCGAGCCCCTCAACCTGACCGTGTACTGTGAGTGCTCCTGGCGTCGCCACACTCCCGGGGCTGACCCTCGGGGACAGGGAAACTGAGTCCAGGAGAGGGCGCCCAAGGGCATGTAGACAGTCAGCAGGGGTGAGAAAGGGGGCTCGCTCTTAATTACCCTTGGCCCATCCACACCAGCCAGGCAGGCTGACCCACACCTCATCATCTGGGAGGCAGAGGCTGGAGGATCTTGAGTTCAAGGCCAAGCTGGAATGTGCTGTGAGAACCTCTCTCAAAAACACAAAACCAAGAAAAGCTCATTGTGGTGGCGCATGCCTGTAATCCCAGCGCTCAGGAGGCTGAGGCAGGAGGATTTCCAAGAGTTCCAGGCCAGCCTGGGGCTACATAGTGAGTTCAAGGCCAGCCTGAACTACATGGCAAGACCCTGTCTCAAAAGACAAAAGCGAAATATGGAACTTTGGCACTACCTTGGACAGAGTGGCCGGCCCCTCCAGTTAGAAGCAGTCCCCGCAGAGAAAGGACGTGGGAGTGGTTGGCTTTGAAAGGGAGCAGGGGAAGGAGTAGTGGGGGGCTGGGAGGGGACATAACCAAGAACCGTAACCAAGGCTCGAAATCATTCCCAGGGGCAGCTGGTGCCATGTGGAATCCTGGGAGAGGTATATGAGGGCGACAATGTAGAAAAAGCAAGAATCTAGAATCCTAGAGCCCTATGACACCAGAGAATCCTAGATTCCAGAAGCTCTGCATTCTAGACTGTGAGAATTCTAGAGACTAGAAGAAGAGGTGCTTAGAACTTTAGGATCTACTGTTAAAATCTTAGCCTAGAATCTTAGCCACATAGATTTCTAGAATTTTAGAATGCTGTATCCTAGAAGCATCTTGCAGCCTTAGAACTCTAGATTTTCGGTTCGGTGCTCTGCCTCGCAAGTGCAAGG